CCTACACCAAAGGTCTTGATAGAAAAACAGATTACCCTCAAATGTTCCGACAGATAGACTTACTAAATGTAAACGTCATTATTGTTTTTGCCCCCGAGTGGACTGCAGAGTATCTCATTCATTCAGCCATCAGACTAAACTTCACCAACAAGGTGTGGATTGCAGGGGATGCCTGGTCCTTACACAAAAAGCTCCCCAAAGAAGAAGGGATCAGAAATATTGGAACGGTACTTGGGGTCGCTGAGCCAAAAATGACAATCCCAGGTTTTAGTGATTTCATCTATTCTTCCAAAGCCAACGGTCACTGTGAACATGCAGAACAGGAGACGTTCTGTAATCAGATTTGCAACTGCAGCGCTGTCACTGCTGCAGATATCATCACAGCAGACCCGTCCTTCTCCTTCCCTGTGTATTCTGCCGTATATGCCATCGCCCACGCCTTACACGCCGCCTTACAATGCGGAGCTGGCAAGTGTAACAACCACATCGCAGTCTACCCACACATGGTAAGTCTACAGACTGTCACACAACTCGTGTACTTTTTTACCATTTGACTCACACAGTTTGTATCTTTCTGTGACTTGAGGAACCTCCATGTGGCCATCGGAAAATGCATTTTCCAAACAGTCCCCCTTTTTTGTTCACATACAGACAATCCCGATCTGAAATTATACCGCGATCAGTCATTGTTAAAATGATCTTCTCCCTGGAGACACAACTCACCCATGGCTAAATTGATCCCTTCAATATTTGCCTCTCCAACAGAGCAGGTTCCAGTTAAAAACCGCTTAGGAAGGGCTCAAATGAGCCTTTCTTCATGTAATCTGATCTTTTCTGTGATCACTGCAGGTTTTGACGGAGCTGAGAAGGTCAAACTTCACACTTCTGAACAATAGTGTTCAGTTTGATGAGAACGGAGACCCAAAGTCAGGGTCCTATTCGATAGTTTTCTGGAACAACAGTGGTGATGCAGAAGAGGTCGGCCTTTATCATTTTCACCCATTGTTCCAGTTCATCATCAACAGTACCAAAATTCAGTGGCATGATAATGGAGAGGTAAATTATTTCCACTCTCTTCCTCAAAAGTTCTTCTCAAAGTTTACACGGTACATTCAATGTCAATTTGGGTTTTTCAACTTCTGCATGGACATGCAAGAGGACTGTGTTTGCTTTCATGAATATGAGCTCATAGTAGAATTTATGGGCTTGCTTGTATTACGACCTTTACGTTTTTCCTCTTTGCCTGCTTTCCTTGTCCAGGTGCCGACCTCCTTTTGTTCAGAAGAATGTTCTGCAGGATATTCAAAACAGCAAGAGGGAATCCACAAATGCTGTTTCAAATGTAGAATCTGTTCAAATGGAACTTACATCAACAGCACAGGTAAGGGAAGCAAAGAAAGTTAGCTGAGACGTGAAACCTCCTTCTCAGAAACCCTGCGGTTGCAGATTTGAAGACTAAAACTGGGATTCAGTCTTTTTTTTATGAAAGTTAGCAAACATTTTGACTGTGTATCCCAATTTTTGTGTGAAAAACAGAGGACCCCTACAGATGCATCCCCTGTAAGGAAACAGAGTGGTCCGTTGATGGCAGCACGTCGTGCAGCCTGCGGCTGGTGGAGTACGTCCCATTCTCAGACACCAGTGCCGTGGTCATCCTGGCTGGAGCCTGCGTCTTGGTGGGCCTCATTCTGGCCGTGTCTGTTCTCTTCACCGTCCACTACAACACGCCGGTTGTCAAGTCGGCCGGAGGACCCATGTGCTTCTTAATTCTGGGCTGCCTCTTTCTGTGTACTCTCAGTGTGTTTTTTTACTTTGGTGTGCCCACTGACTCTGCCTGTATCTTGAGGTTTTTACCTTTTCTTTTGTTCTACACAGTTTGTTTGGCATGTTTCGTTGTGCGATCTTTTCAAATTGTGTGCATCTTCAAAATAGCTGCCAAGTTCCCCAAACTCCTCAATCTGTGGATGAAATATCACGGTCAGTGGCTGCTGATCTCTGTAGCTTTCCTTATTCAGGTAGTCTTACTGACCATTGGCTATTCCACTGCCCCACCCAAACCTTACAATGATACCTTTTGGTACGCAGACAGAATCATACTTGGTTGCGACCTCAGTCTTCAAGGAACATCTGGACCTCTGGTTCTGCTTTCGACGTTGTGCTGCCTTTGCTTTATCTTCTCCTACATGGGAAAAGACCTTCCAAAAAATTACAATGAGGCCAAAGCGATAACGTTCTGCCTCTTCCTGCTGATCCTCTCCTGGATCATCTTAGCTACTGTTAGCATACTTTACCATGGAAAGTACATCCACACTTTTAACGCTCTTGCTGTACTCTCCAGTCTTTACTCATTTTTGTTGTGGTATTTCCTCCCAAAGTGTTACATCATCCTTTTTCAACCCCACAAAAACACACAGCAACATTTCCAAGGTCTCATCCAGGATTATACCAAAACTTTTAGCCAGTAGCTGCCTAAAAATATGAGCAACTTTAGACAAATGAGTAGTAGATTTATTACTTAAGGATTACTTTCAGTTATGTGATGACTTGACTTTTCAGATGTAGAGGAATAAAAAGAATGTTAGTTACGTTTTTAGATTTTCTGTTTTAGTGGAGTTTTAATAAATACTTGCGTACTTTTTAGAAATGCTCTCATGTTGTTAATCATCCCACAGTGATAATGGAAGCATGCTTTTTTACATCAATGTAAGTTTTTAAATATTGGGATTTCTTTATACTTTTATGTTGTTTATATTGAACACCACAGATTAAGCTAGATTCGGCTTGTAACGTAAATTCTGATGATATTACCTTCAATAAAATGTAGTTAATTATGATCACAAATAAAATAATTAATATGGTTTATGTCATGTGGTTGCAAAAAAAATATTACAATCAAATTCAATATACTACTGAACTGAGTGACTTGGGACTGACAATAAGTTTTGTACAATTTTAGATTAATATGTTGTGCGTTTGATATTTGTGTGTGTTGAAATGTCTATTAAATCATCTCAAAGACACTGTAGATTGAGATTTAAGGTAATTAGGTACAAATAAATTTTGGTTCATGGCCAAAGGCAGGTGCGAACATGAATGGGCACTAAAAATATGTCTCACACACACACACACACAACAAACATTTGTATATATGGATAATGGGTATAATGGGTAAACTGTGTGGACACACAAATCATTTCTGTTGTACACAAAGAATAACTGAGTGATTAATTAGAATATAGTTTCCCTTTAGAATAATGTACACATAGACAGTGTACGCCTCACCAGTCATGCTGAGTCATCTAAGTACTTTCACAATAGTCATTTTGGCTGTTTTACACACACACAAATGTCTACTTATACAGTACCCAGAAGGTTGTACTCACCATCATATATGCACTCACATACTGATGAGTGTTACAGAGGAAAAGTGGGTTCGGCACATTATGGACATGAGTTTGGTAAACCTGAAACTGAAGGTCTTTCTGTCCTGCTGGCCCTCAGCCTCTTCTATACAAACCTTTAGTTGTAAGCGTCGCCTATTTGTTGCAAACTAACCACTGATACTCGAGTAATTAGTGATGAATAAGCTGTTAGCATTTGACGTCAGGGTTTGATTATTAATGACTGATAAAGAAAGTGCTGATAATCTGGAATGAATTACCAAATTTTAACAGCACAAAGATTTCAAAGTATAACTTTCCCCCCCAATTTAAAAAAAAAAAAACTCCATAACACTAAAAAGCAGTCTCTTTACCTTTTCCAACAAACCAAAATGCTCTGGGATTTCAACTCATGTGCTCCCACAGTTGAATTCAAAGCAACTTTCTTCTAAAGATCCCTGTGGCCAGAGATGAAGTCATGCAGAGCTCATTTGTAAGAGGATGTAGCACTTTAGCATAAAACAAAGTAACGTGGTTGCGCATGTCGAGTCATTTGTGTTAATTTGCTTGCAACCCCATGAGATCTCTTTACAGCATTTTTACTTCAGCTATCTTCTAAATGTCATCAAACAGACAAACCTTGTCGGTACAATATTGAAACTTTCATTCCTAAAAGAATTGTACCACTATATTCCATACTTTTGGTTAATTCAGTTTCTTCTGCACAACAGCATTAACAAAAGCAGAGTGTTTGCAGTTAATGTACAGTGTGTGTCGATAAGATTAATTCTGGTTGCATTGTCCACTTTAATCTTTCTGCAAAACTACACAATGTATTAAAGCCTTCCAAAGCAACAGTCTGCAAGCACTGCTTAACAACTCCTTCACACAAAGTGGACGGAGCAGGTACAGAAAATGGAGTTTGCTTTTAAGGAGCTGAGGACTTTCTCCTCTATATGCTCACTGACAACAGATGTCGTCTCAGATAAATTGTACTAACAAAGGAAAAAAACAAAAAACAATATTTTCCTTGACTGATTTGTCTACAAATGTCAGCCCACTGGACGAAAACTTTATTTTGTTTTTTTTCCCCGCACAATCAGTTTGTGACGGATTCACAAAAAACCTGTGAACCTACAAACTATTACATTCAAACAATTAGGTTTGAATTGTTCTTTCTCTAAAGTTTAGTTCAATTAAACTGTCAAGATAATACAAAAACTGCTAGCCTTAGCTCTATTTAAATTAAACACATCAACTTAGAGGTTTCATCCAGTTTTGGTTTCAAGAATGAGCAAGAAATATTGCAGCTGTTTATCTTTACAGAACTGCTTTTCCTCTTTAGCTTTCATAAATCAAATGTAGGTTTAAACATCCTATAGGGTAACTTCCGTAAGAACACCAGATTTGTTTCTGACTGAAGTTTCCCATTTATCAATGCAGACCTTACCTGGAATTCAGCACAGCTTGGGTGCTTTTTGCATACTCATTTGTTAACTGTCATCCAAGCATTCAAATGAATGTTTTTATGGTATTGCCATTACAACCTATACTCTGCTTTGAAAAGCAGAGGGTAATTTCATGAGTCCAAATCTAGCTGGGAAATGATAATGTGTAACAATGAGGCAGTTACTGTTTTCTGTAAGTCTTCTGAGCTTTTTAATACTTTCCTGGAATCAATCTGCTCTCACAGCGTCAGAGTTTCATCTGGATGGCGACTATTTGATAGGAGGACTGTTTGATATTCATTATGTCAGTGATTTTGTTTATTTCAGAAAACCAGAAGCCCTTGACTGCTCCAAGTGAGTTTTACATAGACAATGGTGTGGTGAGTAGGTGAACTAACAGCGGTTTGCTTAAATGCTTGTGTTGCTTTTTTTTTATCCAGTCAGCTTTTCAGTTTGTCAAGTTATCGGAGGCTTCAGCTGATGAGATTCTCTGTAGCGGAAATCAACAATTCAACCAACCTGCTCCCAAATGTGTCTCTTGGGTATGAACTGTTTGACCAGTGCTCGGACACGAAAAACTTCCCGGGAATTCTGAATCTCATCTCAGTCGACGGCGTTGTCCAGCCATGGAATCAACCCAACAGGGATCAGTCAAGCGGTCACAAGATCATCGCACTGGTTGGTCCTTTCACCAGCACAGATACCCTCGCCGTGACCCCACAATTCATGCCGGATCTCATTCCTGTGGTAAGTTAACCGCGCAGGAGCTTATCTATCTTACCCAGGAATTTCTAAAAGTTTGACGTTTGTCCACTGTTTCTGTCTATTTATCACCCCTTTGAACAGGTTAGCTATGGAGCTGCTAGCTCAGTCCTTTCACAAAAACACAGATTTCCCTCCTTTCTACGCACAGTGCATTCCAACAAAGAGGTCATAGATGTGATGGTTAGCATTGTGCAAAACTTCCACTGGCGCTGGGTTGCTTTCCTTCACACTGACAACGATTTTGGCATTGATGGACTGGAACTGTTCAGGAGGAGAATTAAAAGCACTGACATCTGCTTGGCCTACACCAAAGGTCTTGATGTCAACACCAATTACTCTCAAGTGTTCAAGCAGATAGAGGCACAGAAAATCAATGTTATCATTGTGTTTTCTACAAACATGGATGGTGAAGCTCTCATAAAATCAGCAATAGAGCTGAATATCAGAAACAAGGTGTGGCTCACGGGGGACACCTGGTCCTTAAACAAGAAGCTCCGCAAGATGGGAGGAATCAAAGATATCGGAACTGTGCTTGGAGTGTCTCAACCGGTGATAATAATTCCTGGCTTCAGCGATTTCATCTACTCAACCAAGAGCCAGAGGCCTTTTGACAGTACAGAACAAAAGACGTTTTGTAACCAGGACTGCAACTGCAGCAGTTTGTCGGCAGAGGACATCGTTTCTATGGACCCATCGTTTTCATTTCCAGTTTACTCTGCTGTGTATGCCATTGCTCATGCGTTGCACAATGTTCTGCAGTGTGGAGCAGACAAATGCAACGGCAATGTCAAAGTGTATCCATTTATGGTAAGTCTGGATCAATATTAAGGCGGGGTGGGGGGATCAGGGAGTGAAACCATCATGTTTTCTGTCCTAAATCATCATGGCCTGCTTAGCTTCCAATTCATTTGTTTCTGCATTTACTAAATGTATTATTGGAATGGCATGCAGAACATGCTATAGCACTCTGAACATATTTCATATCTTAAATCAGAATGTTTTGTCTTACAGTCAAAGGGGGCAGTTCTCCATTCTGTTAAGAAAATTGAAGCACTCGGGCTGCAGCCGTAGCCTAATGGCTAGAGCGGGCGGCCCATATACAGAGCCTCTGCTCGTAAGCGGGTGGCCGTGGGTTTGAATCTGGCCCACGGCCCTTTCCCGCAGGTCTCCCCCTCTCTATCTCTGCCCCCTTTCCTGTCAACCTACTGTCATTAAAGGCCACTAGAGCCAAAAAAATCTTTAAAAAAAAAAAGAAAATTGAAGCACTCATTTACCAAGTAAAAAATTCAAAGCTAATCATCATCATTTTGTTTTCCCACCTAAGATTCTCAAAGAGCTCAGGAAGTCAAATTTTACACTGTTGAACATCAGTGTTCAGTTTACTGAGGACGGAAACCCAAAATTCGGACACTACTCCATAGTTTTCTGGAGTCAGAGTGGTGACGCAGAGGAAGTGGGGTTCTATAGATTTTTCCCATCAGTCAGTTTCTTCATCAACACCTCCAAGATTCAGTGGTACACAAATAAAGAAGTAAGTTGGTTTTCTTGATACAGGATTTCAGAATTCAGGACTTCAAGATCAAATACAAATATAATTGACTTTACTGTTGAATTTCTATCTTTTGTGCAGGTACCTATTTCACTGTGTTCTCCAGAGTGCCCTGCGGGGTATCAAAAGATGCAAAATAGCATTCACAAATGCTGCTTTGGCTGTAAAATGTGTCCCAATGGAACATATTGCAACAGTGCAGGTACTGTATATAATTATCCCAGAGTAACAGTTAGCAATCAGGAGTGCTGAGCTAAGACATAGAATAGTGATTACCATAAGAAACAAATATAAAGTTGCAAAAATGTCTTATGTTTCCTTTGCAACAGAGGACCCCTACAGATGCATCCCCTGTCAGGACTCAGAGTGGG